TAAGTAAAAAGTTTGGGAAACCCTGGTCTAACCAGCTTTCTGTGTGTCTTACACTCCACTTATCCAATCCATATTCCTTAACTTGCTGACAAGAATATTGTGGGTGACCATATCAAAAGCTTTGATAAAGCTGGCACTGGGGGCTTTGGGAGGACCAGAAACAACTTATTTGAATATTCATCATTTGATTGATGAATATGCAAATATACATTACCAGTCCTCCAAAAGTTCATGAATGGATTTACTGGTCCCCGTGTCAAAAAGTTTGGGAACCCCTGATCTAGATCATCCCTCATAAATGTCTATCCAACCTGCGCTGCAATATCTCCTAGTGATGGAGATTCTACAACCTCCCTAGGCAATTTATTCCAGTGTTTAACCATCCTGACAGTGAATTTTTCCTAATGTCCAACCCAAACCTCCCTTGCTTCAGTTTAAGTCCCTTGCTTCTTGTCCTATCATCAGAGGCCAAGGAGCACAATTTCTCTCCCTCCTCCTTGTAGTACCCTTTTAGATACTTGAAAACTGCTGTCATGTCCTCTCTGTGTCTTCTCTTTTCTAAACTAAACAAGCCCAATTCTTCCTGAGCTTTACTCAACTCAGAGTAGAACAGAAAAATTACTTCTCATGTCTTGCTCACAACATACCTGTTAATGCATCCCACAATCGTGTTTGCTTTTTTTTTTTGCAAGTCTCACACGTATAATTCATATTTAGCTTATGGTCCACTATGACCCCTAAATCTCTTTCTGCAGTACTCCTTCCTAGACAGTTGCTTCCCATTCTGTATGTGTGAGACGGATTATTCCTTCCTATGTGGAATACTTTGCATTTGTCCTTATTAACCTTCATTCTATTTACCTCAGACCATTTCTCCAGTTTGGAGGATAGGGACATAATTCAAAATGATCTGGACAAAGCACTTGCAACCCCTCAACCCAAGCTTGGTATCATCTGCAAACTTAATAATTGTACTCTCTATGCCATCAACTAAATCGTTGATGAAGATATTGAACAGAACCAGTCCCAAAACAGATCCCTGTGGAAACCCACTTGTTATGCCCTTCCAACATGACTATGAACCATTAATAACTACTCTCTGAGAATGGTTATCCAGCCAGTTACGCACCCACCTTATAGTAGCCCCATGTAGGTTGTATTTCCCTAGTTTATGGATAAGCAGGTCATGCAAGACCGTATCAAATGCTTTACTAAAGTCTAGGTCAGTTGTTTTCAAACATTTTGGCCCATGGACCACTTGGCTCAATGTAAATCTTTCCGCAGATAGCCAGTTGCTAATGGAAACTCACCGTTAATTACATAATTATGCCCAAGTCATTTTGCTAGGTGCTGCAGCTAGAGAGACTGGTTTAATTTAAATTAAACATATTAAGCACTTTAACTCTCTCATGTTAGTTTATCAAACTTCATATTAAATAAAATAAAATATTAATTTATGTCCAACACAAAAGGTTTCAATGTTTTCTTTCTTTATGGCAGGGGTGAGGAACCTTTGTGTGTCAGGGGCCACTGACCCAAAGTAAAATCAGTTGGGGACCACACAAGGAAGAAGCGGATTATACACGTGAGAAACAAAAAAACTCCTCCCAAAACCTCCAACCCTCACTGACGTGGCCCCCAACTCAGACACCTCATTCCTTTGGTACACCATGGGGCAAGAGGAAAGGACAGGGAAGACTGAGGTTCAGGTCTTCCCATAGGTCAGATTTACTTTTCTGGTAATTTTTATGGACACCCCCCCCCTTTAGGCTCTGAGGTGGGGACAAAAATGAGGGGTTCAGTGCAGGGCAGGGCTGCCAGTGAGTGGGATACGAATGGGGTGCAGAATCTGGGAGGGAGGTAGGGTGCAGAAGCCAGCTGGGAGTAGGGTGTCTGGCCAGGAGAGTGTGTGCAGAATCTGGCCAGGAGGGAGGGTATCTGGGGCAGAGTGTCAGAGGAGGTTCAGGGTGCCCCGGGAATTTGGGATGTTAAAATTAATCAACTAATTGAATAGTCGATGGAATTTCCATAGACTATTTGATTAATCAATAAGGGTGCTTCCACTTTGAAATGGAGCAAGAGCCTGCTGGCTGTTGCCTCATTTTAAAGGCAGAAATGCCACGTGGCATTCCACCCTTGAAATACTTCATGGCAGAGGAGGTTCAGGGTGCCCCGGGAATTTGGGATGTTAAAATTAATCAACTAATTGAATAGTCGATGGAATTTCCATAGACTATTTGATTAATCAATAAGGGTGCTTCCACTTTGAAATGGAGCAAGAGCCTGCTGGCTGTTGCCTCATTTTAAAGGCAGAAATGCCACGTGGCATTCCACCCTTGAAATACTTCATGG